TCAAATTCATCCACCCACCCATACATCCATTCATCCATCCTGTACTAGGTGCTAGGCATTGGAGAAATGACATGAATCAGGTACAATTTCTGTTTCCAAGGACCTCAAGGAGGAATAGGCTGGGGGTGCAGGTAGGGTAGTGGTGGTTGTGGTCTCAGACCCTTAAATGATTATTCTGCAAAGAACTCAGTATAACGATTGTGGTATGCACAGGATCATGTGGAAACAGGGGTACCAAGGACTTCCCACAAAAGTTTCTTTACATTGGATTTTAATATTCGTCATCTTTGTATGAGGGGCTCTCTTTTTGGCAAATTGTTTATATCAATATGCAAATGAAAGTTAAATATTCTACAAATTAGTTTAAGGTTCTTAGTTGCTGAGAGGAATACATACAGCTATTCAGCTTTTCCGTTTAAGTTCAACCTCCTTAGTCATCTTTAAAATATAATGTATGTGTAGATCACTGCTGATGTTCAGCAAATGGACTAGTGTCGAGTCATGGCTTGAGGGCTGCGGCACGTTTAGTGTGAACCAGACTCTGAAAGGGCCCAGCTGAGGTGTAATTAACATGGTGAAGTAAACCTTTGGAGCCTCATTTTCTATGTGTGTGTGCGTGTGTGCGCGTGTGTGTGTGTGTGTGTGTGTGTGCACGTGCGCTTACAGTGGAGAGGGCGAACACTTGTATTTTCATTTATTTGGACATTAGTTAGTCCAGTCAATCTTTTATTAATCCATCCTTTGTAGACAAGCAGACTTACAGTCATGTTCTAATCCTTTTTAAGCTGCTTCTTTGGAAGCTATTTGTGCCATAAATTAGCTCAAGGAAATTTCTTTTGTTAGATGGTAAGTGCCATTTTCAGCAAAGGTCCTCACTGTTATTGTTGTTACTGTTATTATAACAAGTATTTGAACATGTCAGAAGAGAAAAATCCTATGATCGTAACAAGATGCTGCTCAGTGGTACCTAATTCCATAATCTTTACGTTCACAGTGATTTGGGCACATTTATTAAAGGAACAATTATTATAGAAATCTCACTCTACCCCCATCCTATCTTCACAACGGTTTTCCAGTATTTATTTTTCAAACAATATTAAATTGCCAGAAGCTTAAAGCCCTCATCCTTAATGTTTATCAATCAATTTACATTTGATTGTAGTTGAAGAAAATTAACCTGGCAGATAGCCAGCCTGGATTTCAGTTTGCAGTCTATAATATTTACATTTCTTCATCTTTAATTCTTTCAGAAATATTTATCTTTGGTATGCTATATACTATCCATGATTTACTTCTCTTGTGACGTAAAATAAGAAATAAATAAAATAAGCAATAAAATAAGAAATAAATTTGGTTTCCACATTTCCTGGTTGTAGATTTATCTTAATGCCTTTGTAAATCTAAGAGTTGAAAGAATAATAAGAAAAAAAATCCGGTAAGGACTGAGTGACAATACAGATGCAGCAAGCAATCAATTCATGTGGCTTTCACCTCCCTTACTTCACAAAATTTTGGTACTTTAGGCCTGATGCATAACCCGGTGAGTTCTCTAATTCTCACTTTTCTGATCGTGGTGTAATTCCAAACATGGAAAGGGACCTAGCATGTGATATCCATTATCAGTTGTCCTTGTCTTTCCTGCAGCTCAGGATGCCATCTATTCCATTTCCCATTTCTATGGTGTGTAGGACTGTGGCAAGATCCAAACAACAGAGCAATTCAAGAGACAAACAGCGGGCAGCCCACTCACCTTGGTGGGCCCAGAAAAGCCAAGGAGTCAGATAGAAAAAAGCAGACCTTTATTCCATGTGGCCCTTATACATTGTACAGGTAACACTGGCCAATCCTTCCTGATCTTTTATCTACCAGGAAAAGGGGGAGAGAGGAGAGAATGTAAAAGGGGCGCATCATGGCTCACTCATTCATTCACTTATTTACTCACTCAACTCGTATTTATCGAGTGCCTCTTATGGGACAAGGTTGGTTTTGGGAATTTGGAGATGAGTAAGTTACCACCCTTGCCTTCAAGGTGTTTCAGTCTAGCAGGGAGAAAGACGATTAAAGCAGTAATTAAACTCTCTAAGGTAATTATTATAATGGTGAGCTGCAGCTCTGAACAGAAGGAACACAGATGCGGAGACACAAGCTCGCCCTCTTATTGAGCTCTGTAACAAAGAGCAAGGTGCTCAATGCCTTTGACCTTCAGCTTCTTCATTTATATAGGTGGCGGGGGCAGGCGGGCATCTTTAACTTGCAGATGTGTGTAAAGTGCCCGATAGAGTGCTTGGCATGCAGCGGGCATTCGGTGAATGGTGGCGTGTGGATGTGCCTCAGGTGCTGCGCAGCCCTCGAGGGCAGTAGGACTGTGACCTCAGGAGGGGTCCTGAAGTCCCCTGCCAGAGATGTGGGAATGGTTTTCTTGCACACTGCAAGAACACTGGGGACCAGGACTCGCAGGGAGGTGCCACTGACGGAGCTGAGTCCCTGTCTCCGAACTCGTCTTCACTAGGTAGAATCTTTAAGATTTTAAAGGAAAAAGACTGGCGCTGACAGCTCAGGTGAGAGGCCCATTGCCATTTTTGCTGCCCTAATTTCTGACACTTTAATGTCTTCCATATGACTCATCTGCCGCCTCTTAGCGCCTTGTTTAGCTGAAGAGCCTTGCGGCTCCAGTGGCTTCCTTCTCTTCTAAGCCTTCCATTTTCCTCTTGCCCTTCTACCAGCTCTCTGGCCTACTATATTTGAGAAGCATTATTTGAAGTCATACTTCATATATACTAAAAATATATGAAATTTTAGAAGTTAAATAGAATTTATGTGGTCATTGCTGCATTTTTGGGTAATGTTTATTGAGCCTTATTAAGGCACCTTATTCAGGCACCACACATTTGATGCATTACATCAGTGCTTCTCAGACTTTGATGGGAATACATGTCTGTCACCTGGGGGATCTTAAAATTCAAGTTCTGGTTCATTTAGTTTGGGGGTAGGGCTCAAGAGACTACATTGCTAGCAAACTCCAGGGTGATGCTGTTGTCTACAGAGTGCGTTTTGAATAGCAAGGCATTGTTTCATTTGATCCTGATGACAACCCTATGAGATAAATATTATTTTTATTTCCCAGATGGGGAAACTGAAGTTTAGAGGAATTAGATAATTTGTCCAAGGCCATGTTGCTGGAAAGCAGCAGAGTTCGCTTCTAAATCCAGGTTTGCCTCCTGGTATAGTTTATATAATCTGAATTTTGGAAATATCCTACAACACCTAAAGGGGTATCTGGTGCTACCTCAAACAAAATTCATAGTTTTAGTTTACTTTTTTGTCTTTTTATGAAACTTCTTTACAATTTAATTTCTCTTTATGAAAGACCTTGCATTAAATAGTGATTCAGATATGGATTTTGTTTCTAAAGATATGTAAAATTTAGTATGATTTATTTGCCAAAATTATGGCCCAGGAAACATTGTGCTATTGATGGAGTCTGCACTGAACACAAGAGGAAATTGCTGGGAAGGATGCATGTGAAGAAAGGAAATCCTCAGGCTGATTTATTGTTTAACGCTGAGCGTACACAGTGTGCTATGCTTGTCACGGCCAAGTAAAAAAGGACACAGTCCCTGTCCTGAACAGATCATTTTCTTAAAAATAACATTTGACCTGTTTATAAAATTAATATGGTTCATAATAGAAAGCTTGAGCTACAGAAATCTAAAAACTAAAAAATTATCTAAAAGCCCAAGCAACTGTACTTGATATTTTTATTTTCAGATTGTAAAAGAATACATCTCAAATAGGTGACCGAGGATCACATTTACACAGAACAGCAAGAGTTCAACGCAAATAATTTAAGCATTATTTTTGGGTTTGAGGGGCAGTGCGCAGTGGGAGTAAGAGGGGCAGGGTTTAAGAGTCCCCCCAACATTTAAGACACACGAATGCGCTGCTTCAGCCAGCGCGAGTGTTCCGATGGCGCGTTCCAACTTCCGCAAGGCCCCCAAAACCTAGGCGGACAGGGGCAGCCGGGGCTGAGGCTCCCAGCTCTCAAACTCCGCCGCCAGCCGCCGACGCATGCGCAGTCTGGCCGCCGTGTCACAGGCCTGTTTTTCTCGGGCAGGTTTCTGCGGGGTCAGCAAAAGGGTCAGAACTGCAACAGTGAACAGTCCCCGCCTGACAGCGGAGAGGGAAACCGTCTCTAAGGGAAAACACTTCGCGTCGGAATGCGCGCGGAGCGGTTCTGCCGGCGTCTACACACACACACTTTTAGGGTGCCAGGACATCCTTAGGGGCAACTAACCTGGAGGAACAGACAGGAATTATCTGCAGACGAGAATGTAAGGAACAGGACAGGAAGGGGCGACGGTCTCGAAAACTTCCAGCGCGGTGTTCTCCAGATGCTCTGTGCACTTTTTCCATTTCTCTGGGGAGTCCAGGTGCCCCAATTAGTCCGGCGCTCCTCCGGGACGCCTTTCTGAAAAACGCGTTCGTTGTTCGGGGGGCCCGGGGGAGCCCCGACGCATTACGGCACGCAGCCACACTCCCCCAAACCCAGGACCCGCCCCGAGAGACCATCCCCGGACGCCGCGGTTGTGCAGCCCCAGGAACCGGAGGGCCCGCGGGGGGCGGGGCGCCGGGATCCCCTTGGTCGCCGCCGCCCCCCAACTCCGCCGCCCCGCCCCC